GAAAGCTGCCCCATTGCTTTCGTCCTAGCTACCGTAGGAACCATGCATGGAGAACCCCTCTCCAAGATGCAAACCGAGCTAAAGGAAGGCATTGGAATAGCATTGACCTTCCTCATGAAGTCCAACCCGAGAACCAAGCGAAAATCATCCATTGTAGCCACCGAAAAATCTACTTGGCCATTCCAAGTGCCTAATTGAATTTCCACTCCTCGAATTATGCCACCAAGGGGCGTGGATGGAGAATTCACAGCTTTCATAAGACCACCACTTTTAGTGATTGTGAGGCCCAACCTTCTAGCCTCATCTTCAGTAATGAAATTGTTGGTAGCTCCCGTATCCACCATTGCTAGTGCGGGCCGACTATTTACTTGAGCTTCCACATACATTAATCCTCGTTCATTATTGGAAGCCGGAACGACCTTAGCATTGAGAGCGTTAAGAAGTTGCAATGAACTAAAATGTTCCGCCCTTTGCTCTTGGCAAGAGGATGAATCCCGTTCCTCCGCCATAGCCGCCAATGTGCCAAGTTTAGGGCAATCATGCATTAAGTGTGGCCCCTTGCACACGAAGCATCCACTTTGAGAGCCCGTCGAGGCCTTCTTCTTTTCCTCATAATTTTTTCGCGAGAGGGAAGGTTTGTAAGTGTTACCACCTTTGAAGAATGATGACTTATGGTAATCTTTCTTGTCTCCTCCACCTTTAGCCGAGTTACTCTTAAAGCTTTTAGAAGATTTCGATGAATCCGTGCTCCTTTGGAACTCGGTTAAAGATTCGGCCACCACAATAGCCTCGTCTACTGTCTTCACTCCCCGACGTTGAAGTTCTTGCTTCGCCCAATTTTGTAATCCGTCGGTAAAGTGAAACAATAGATCTTCATCTGACATGCTCGGGATTTGAAGCACAAGGGTAGTAAACTCTTTGACATAATCGCGAATAGTGCCCTTATGTTTCAACTCCCTAAGCTTTTTACGGGCCTCATATACTACATTTTCGGGATAAAATTGGCGTTTCAATTCCTTCTTGAAATCATCCCAACTATCTATCCTACAAGCACCCTTTTCCATGTCGGCGTGCTTACGTCGCCACCATAGAGCTGCGGTGTCCGTAAGATACATAGTCGAAGTACGTACCTTAATGGCTTCATCCAGAATGTTCACGCCCTCAAAATATATTTCCAATCGCCATAGGAAATCATCTAGCTCTTTTGCATCTCGCTTTCCATCGAACTCCCTAGGCTTTGGATAGTCGATCCTTGGAGCCGCTAGCATCGTGCTAGTACCCGCACTGGTTGACGCCTTCTTACAAGCGTCTAGGCCACTTTGCATATCCGCGCAAAGCTTGTTTACTTGGTCTTAGATCGCTTTGACAACATCTATGACCTTAACCTCCAACCTCGTATATTCTTCCCTTAAAGCGCCTTGGTCCTCCTTGAGATCATCAAGTTGTTCCAAGGTGTGAGCTTCAAGGGTTGAGAGTGAATTCTCCACTACTTCAATGCGTTCCCCCATATTGAGAAATACCTCCTCAAGAGATCCACCGGTAGGGGCTGGTGGTCGGCTCTTGCTTCGAGTTTGTCGAGTTTTCTTACTCGTGGTTTGGGGTTCGACCTCTCGAACCCTCTCATCATGTTCTACTTCTGAAATGCCGGATCCCACAACATCTTTTTCCGCCATGCCAACGATAGTAAGTGAGCAAACCTAGGCTCTGATACCAACTGTCACGGACTTGCTAATTTCCTCCAAGAACCGTACGGCCTTAGTGTCTTCAACTTTTGCCCCGCGATTATTACACTAAGTCAGCCTCCCGATTGGCGTTGATGTCTTAGAAAGGCACTAAGTAGAACACTTTAAGAAAGGGACAATGAAGGAACACAAGAGCTTATAAAGAAGGCTTTGTATTGAATAAGGAATACTCTTTACAACTTCACTCTCTTGATCCTTCAAATGAATCCTACCAAGCTATTTATAGTGGTAGCCTCCTCAAATGGATGGCTAGGATCCTTTCTATCCAACGGTCTAAATTACACCTCTAGAATTATCTATACAAATATCTACATTAAAATATCTATGGACTAAACTAGGATGATCTAGAATAATCCACCAAGTGAGGGGCTTGTAGGCTTCTAGAATGTCCCTTGATATTCTAGCAATCTTCATGCACTTGTGGGAGTCTAGAATATTCCGGTTAGCCCCAAGTCGTCAACATTTTAAATTTCTCGATCTTCTTGTGCCAAGATCGAGCGAGTCGTGACAGTAGGCTCGACTAGGGTTAAGTTCCAATAGAAAAACAACAAGCCACAAAGATTATTAGCCATCCAATAGGTAAAACAACGCTAGGTCGGTTCATCCAAAATTCGGTGTTGAATTTATCGTTCAGTCATTCATGTCGACTGATAAAATTGGTTTTCATCATCGTCCGGGAGGTCGTTTGACAACATGATGTCTAACATCAACCTTCTGCGAACCATGAATTTTACCCTTGCAAGAAAGACCACAGAGAGAATTTGTATGGGTGTCAACTTCTAAATTCTCTATTTATATCCGGGGAATTAACCCTATGGGCCGTCAGGTCCATTAACTGACCATGTTTCAAAAGTAGGGAAAAATTAAAAAGTCAAACACAATTCAATTTTAGGTCTCAAGTTTCAAAATACAAAATTTAGGTATTAACTAATTAGTTAAAAATATTTATTAATTAAATATAATAAGATTACAAGTATATAATTAATGGTCACATATACATAATTATAAGTCACAACTTATTTACTAATCACATATTATCAAATTAATTTGGCACAGATTATTTTGAGATAACATATTTTTAAATTTATTGGTTACAAATTATCGAATTTTAATATCACAGTTTAATAGTTAGTCAAAAAATCAAATAGTAGGTCACATATACAAAATAGTGGGTCACATACCACCGACACTTCATCTACTCCATCGACGCTACCAAATTCACCACCAAACCTGTCACCACCGCCTCCACCACCACCAATACCACTGACAAAATCGTCACCACCGAATCCATTCAACTGCTAACAAAAACCATAATAACTGCCACTATCAGATCTCCAACCACTAACAACCACCTCCACCACCAACAACTACCATTATAACATTCCACCACCACCACCACTATCACTAACACTACCACCATTGCACTATCACTACCACCACTAGCCCAATATGCAAAACGATCACCAACGAAAATAGAGAACCTCTGTCTTCAACTCCACCATACCCCAAAGCCACCACCACCTTCACTCCATCGCCACCACTAAATCCACCACCATCCTTGTCGTCGCCAACAATACAGGCATCACCACCCAACAAAAAAACCCCCAAACCATTCACCACCTCCACCCGTCGACGCCAACAACACCACACACATCACCATCACATCACACCACCACCAGAACTCACCAACAGAGAGACATATGCAAAATACAACAAGAGAAAGAAAGAGAAATTGAGCCACATAACACACACATACATAGAGAGAGAGCCTGTTGTCGTGTGTGATGGTTGCCGATCACCAGTTTAGAGTGCTGATGGGTGTGGGGAGAAATGACACAAAGATGAATAGGGAAGAGAAAAATGATTTAGGGTTAGTATCGACTTAGGTAGTGTGTGTAATATTTAATTATTAATAAAATATTTGAATTATGATTAAAAAAATCTTTACACTTGATTTTTGCACAGTGAAGTTGAAATACTTGTAAATGTGTAATTTTTTGTGTTTTCAATTTTTGATTTTGAATTTTGAGTTCATTTTTGAATTTTCTGTTTCAAAGATATATTTTAAAATTGCTAAAAACGCGTTTGATTTGTCATTTAAAAAAATTATTTTTAAAATTTGGTTTTTGGAAATTAATTTACAACATTCTATTTTATTCCATAAAATTTGATTATTCAGTAAAAATAAAATAATTTTATATAATATAGAAATTTTAAAATTGGCAAATCTCACAATATTTTTTCTCGCTACAAAAGTAAAAAATAATAACAAATTGAGTTTAAAATATAGGAAATAAAAATAAAAATTAATGATGTAGACTAAAAATATTTTTGTCCGTGTTCACTTAAATTTTTTTGAATTTTTATTTAAATAGTCATTAAGAGATTGAATTATTTTTATTTTTATTACTTTTATATTTTAGAAAATATATAATTTTATTTTTGAACATTTAAATTTTAATTTTAGAATTTATTTTTAATTTTTTAAACTTTTAAATTTCACTTGTTAGAATTTTATACTTTTATTTTTAGATTTTTTAGATTTTTTAAATTTTATTTAAATGATTTTCACTAAAAACACTCAAATATCAAAAATGCGTTTTGAGTTTTACGTTATAAATTTATCTTTATTTTTGAAAATATATTTTCAAAAATACTATACTAAACACGTTTTCGATGTTCTGAAAAATTGAAAATTGAAAATAGCTTGAAAACAACAATCCAAATGTAACCTAAACTATTTTCAAACTAGTATATAACCATATTTTTATCAAACTGCTATTTTTGTTACATTACCAAATGATGATTTTTTGTTACAAAAGTATAACGCATGTAACATGTAATGCATATTACAAGCGTGTTACATCATGTCCACCACGTATATTACCATCAATATTGAAGGCACCATCATCTCTATCAAAACCAATTTTCATCACTACGATTACCATCGACGTTGATCTGGGCCGCTACCACCATCAAGGCCACACCATTATTGCACCACCACCACTTACCAACATATTTACTCTCCATCACCCCACCACCATCACCACAAATTTCCCCTCTTTTTTACCAGAACTTTTTGACCTTTTTACCACCTCATCTCAATACCTTAACCATCACCAACACCAAATACCAATGCCAACAAAACATCAAAGCAATCACCATGAATAAGAAATTTTAGCAAGAGAGGAGGTGGTTCATATTTGAGATTTTCAAATCTAAAAATTCAAATTTGCTGGTAGAGATGGCAACTTGGTGATGTCACTAGTGGATGTGACACAAATGGCAATGGCAATATGGCTATTGTGTTGGAGGAAGATACATGTGGTGAAAAAAGTGGTGGTGGGTATGGTTTCAGATGGATTGGTGATGATGATGGTGGTCAATGACCACAGAAGTGGATGGTTTGTGCGGTGTTGATGGTAATGGTGGACTGCATTCTCAAGGTTTGAGGGGATTTGATTTTGGTAGATTTTTAGATCTAATTTCTAATTGATATGAGTTTTAGATCTAAATAATAGAAACTTGAAACTGAGGTTGCACAAAAATTAATTCAAACCGCTTAAATCGATCAATCTAACCCAATCCAAGCCAAACAAATTGATTTGGGTTGGTTTTAAGATTCAATTGAGTTGGATTGGGTTGGAAAATTAAATATGAATTTGGGTGGGTTAAATCTCGAGTTATTAATTAAAAATCAATCCAATCCAACTAATGAATTAAGAAAATTAACATCTAAATGGAAAAAACCTAAACTGATCCTAGTAAGAATAGCTAGGAAGGAGTCTAATAGAATTAGAAAATATTAGAGCCTTATCAAAACCTTCCACCACATAAATAATTTAGTGTGGTGCAGTAGTCCAATGAAGGTAAGACTAGTAAATAGAGGTCTGGTCACTATAAATACAACACTTCACTCAATTTATTTACTCTTTTTGTGTGATTAGCACTTTATAAAATATAATTGTTATAAATACCAACCACTATATCTCTAGTAAATAATACGATACATTTTCTTTTCGTGCATATAATCAATCTTAAAACATAAGACTACATTCAAGCAAGTTATTCACTCTCTTCGCATTAAGCTTAACAACCAATTTGATTCTCAAAGTGTCACATATTTGCGTGTATGGGGACGAATACATCTTATAATTGTATTATGTATTAGGATTATACTATTGAAAAATAGTAAGTTTGATTATTTTTACAAATAAATCAAGTTTATTGTGTTGCTCATTTTGTTAAGATTCCAATGTTGCTTTGTTTACTAAAAAGAAATCGATTTATATAAATTTATTTATTTTGATATAAAATAACTTTTAAATACAACCAGAATACGATTTAGAAAAATGCATATTGTACATCACTATTTGAATAGAATATTGATGGGAAATGTGTGGTTAAAAAATAAGAAAAAGTTTTGGATTTACGTGTAATACTATTTTATTGAAGAATGTGTGGTTAAAATGATGTCAAAACACTGTTTAATAATGTATTTTTTTGGAAAAAATGGGGCTCAAACAAGGGCAATATTTTACAAATTGATGATATGTCAAAAAAAAAAAAAA